TCGGAAGAGTTGGAAGAGGACATGCCGAAGACAAAGCAAGCTCCCCATTGAACGGTCAAAGCGAAGACAGTGTATCCGACAGTGACACCAACGATGTTAACCACCATCGACTTTGCTCCCTCTCGGCTTGCAGTTAGTCCTGTTGCTGAAAATCCAACCCCCAAAAAAACATATTAATACTAATGGAAGTCGGTCCAAGATTTAAGATCTTAGTTAGTTAGAGCCACCATTGCCACAATCTTGGATTTACTACGTATTATGGACGCGGGTCGGGTACCAGGAGTTTTGAAGACACCTGTCTCAATCTCGATTTCACGCGTTTTCTAGAGGTATTGTATCGGTCTCACCAGATCCGGGTACGGGTACCCGCGAGACCGGGACGGAAATCCGGGCATCCAAACCCGTGAAAATGTACGAAATTTTGTTGATTTATATTCACTATGTAGGAATATATAGGTAATTTTATATAAAATCTGTCAAAAGTATTTTTGTAAATACATAGAAAATCATGAATATTTTAGTAATTTTCTAAATATTCGTATATCCGCTAGACAACCCGTCAAAAAATAACAGAACCGACCCTGTCTTTCGGATTTCTCTTCTCGTCGAACCCGACATCGATGTTGCTTCTTGAGTAACCGAAATCGGGTATCCGTGAGACAAGATATCCGAAAACTAGAGGGAGACACATGTTAAAAATATCCCCTTTACAAATTTTATAAAATTTTAAACAAAATTATTAAATACCCCATAAAAAATTATATTTACCATTACAAAATTTATTGTTGACCCTTATTATAAATTTTTCCGGATTCACTATTACCGAAAATCCTCGGATCTCCGGTAAAAAGGCCCACCCCTAGGACTACATATAAGCATTCATCAACAAGAATATATATATATATATATATATATATATATATATATAAGAGGCTAATTAGGGAAAGTGTAATGGAAGAAAAGGCTTACAAAGCGCATATATATATATATACATATATATATATATATATATATAAGGCTGATTAGGGAAAAGTGTTATGGAAGAAAAGGCTTACAAAGCATAAGAGCGATCCTGGGGAACATGATAAGGAGAGGAAAGACAATTCCGCCATAGAAGCCGACATCCAAGATGACAAAGAGCTTAGACCTTCCTTCAGACAAGAAGTAGTCGCCGACTATCAGCAAACACCCGAAGGAGAAGACTTGGAAAACGTAGCCCGCAACGTTCTCGGCGCAAGGCAAGAACCCGTAGACATGAACACACGTGTTATCATCGGACACGCTCTTGATCGGTTCAAGGCCGAGGAACTCGGACTGATCGCTCGCGGAGTCGTTGATCCCGTCAGAAACCAAGATCGAGTTCTCAGATCCTGAACTCAGGGCACGACAGTTCGCGGAAAAGGTGAGGGATAGAAAGAGAAAGGAGATGAACAGAGGAAGACTTTTTGTCAAACTCTTGCAGCAAAGAGTTCGCGAGCTCGTGGATATCGCACTTTATTCTCCCCAGCAGACCGAACTCGACTGTCACGAGATCGGAAGTATATATATATATTAATAAACAAGGACCGTGGACTTTAAATGTGAATAAGAGTGGGCAAATTCTTTAATGTTTTTTTTTGTCATTATTGGGATTGACTCTTGGTGTGATAAGGACAGCTAAGGAAGGGTTGGACAATCAGGGATCGGGTATCCGGTACTTTTGGAGTATCCAAACCCAAACCCCATGGATAATGTCTGACTGCAGTTCTTGTCCCTACAGAATCAAAAATCCTCGTACCAACTGCAGTTCTTGCTTTAAACAGAAACAAGAGATCAACACCTGAGAAGAGGGGATTAAGTGAAAGAAACAAAGCTGTGAAATATTATATTACCAGATAGTAGCCTCTTACCCGACCCCGACCCCGTCCCTGTCCCCGTGTCCACGGCTGCTGCCACCTCCTCTGCCCTGTGTCCTTCAAATGCCTTATTATTCACGAGCTGATCCTGGATTCCCCCTGATGATCCACCTCTTCCTTTCTTCGCTGCCGAGACATTACCCGCTCCATTTCCTGCTGGCCGTTTCCCCTTGCGTTATAGCAATGACGACGAAGAAGAAGTATGACAGAATCCATTCATCCATAATAGGCCCACTAAATCCCGAAATCCATGAGAAATCTTCCCCAAGCCTAAAAATTCTGTAGCAATATTTCAAAAATAACAAAACTAAACATTCGTGAGAAATCTGAAACATCAAAATTCAAGACCCGGAAGGCTCAGTTCGATTCTAGAATGTGATTCATTTAGCGATATTACCTCTCAGTGAAGTCCTTGTAAAACTCCGAGAAGCCCTCCCCAAGCCTAAGATGATTTAAGTAATGTTCGGACACATCGGATTAAATGTAGAACAATTAAGATCACCTTTTGCGTCATGCCTCAACAATGACATAAAAGCCTTATGCACAGCATCACGCTCCACAGTGTCCTCTAAGGGGATCGCATTAAGGTGGGTCTATGTCAGATCGACAAGAAGTTGATAAGTAGACATAGATTTAACAACCAAAATCTCGGAGTTACCACGAGTCAGAATGGCTTGAACCCGTATCTGCAAAAATGAAGACAGAGATGCTTAAAGCAAGGGGAACATAAGTGAAGAACACTAACACAACACAGAAAATGAACTGGGCTGAAGCCCGACCAAGCAAGGGGAACTATTGATCTTTAGAAGAAGAACGCAACTTAGAAAATTTTCTCTCTGTATTTCTCTATATCACCATGAAACTGTACATGGGTTTTTATATACAACAAAGAATAAAGCAAAACCTATAAAGCAAAGTCTATACAGCTACGGACATCTCCATGTAACCACCTTAACCTAGTGTCAGAGGTAGCACCAAAACTGTCTGTTGGTCTATATTAGCAAGACAGGAAAAACGAACAAGAAAGGGTGGCTAAAACTCCCCCTCAAGATGGGAGATACAAATTTTGTATCCCCATCTTGGAAAGCAGATAGAAAAACTGATCAGAAGCAAAGGGTTTTGTCAGCAGGTCCGCAACCTGTTCTCTTTATGAAACATGTGGAATCTTCAAAAATCCAGATTTGATTTGGTCTCGAATGAAGTGACAGTCCAATTCCATATGCTTGGTACGTTCATGGTGTACCGGATTGTTCGCAAGTAGAATTGCAGACTGACTGTCGCTAAAGTGCCAAGAAGTATCTTAAGGGGCCAAGATCCTTAACTTGAAAATGTGCCTGTAGAGTATTCTTGGTCTGTGAAATCATGGTTGTATCATTCCCAGTCAATATCAAATCATCAACATATACCAACATAAGAGTTAGAGTCGATCCCACATATTTAATAAAAACAGAAGTATCTGCTGAAGACTGTCGAAATCCATCAGCCAATAAAACAGAGGACAGCTTGAGATTCCATTGTCTTGAGGCTTGTTTCAAGCCATAAATCGACTTCTTTAAGCGACAAACAGATTTCTCAAGAACTTTCTCCCCCTTAATAGCAGAATATCCAGGAGGCAGTGACATGTACAACTCTTCACTTAAATCCCCATTGAGAAATGCATTGGAAATATCCAATTGAGACAAACACCAATTCTGAGCAGTAGCTATAGCAAGCACAACTCTTACAGTAGTCATTTTTGCCACTGGACTTAATGTATCAAGGAAATCGAGGCCTTCAATTTGTGTATAACTTTTGGTGACCAATCTGGCTTTGTGTCTTTCTATGCTACCATTAGCATTGTATTTGGTTTTAAAAACCCATTTACACCCAATTGGATGTTTGCCAACAGGTAGAGAACAAATCTCCCAAGTATCTACCTTAGTTAGAGCTTCCAACTCAAATCTCATGGCAGCATTCCATTTGTCAGACTTAACAGCTTGAGTATAAATTTTTGGTTTAGTTTCGGTAAGAAGAGAAAGGTTTTGTAAGTGGGTTGTATATGAGAATAAGATAGGTAGGAAGATAGATGATATGGTGTGGTTGTGGTGGGTATAGGAGGCATGTGATGTTTGAGAAAGTAGCAGTGATAATCTGCAAGGTATGCAGGAGTGTCGTCTGTCGCTGTGATCTACGAAGTTTTTCAGAAGATTCAAGGACTGTAGGAGAGGATAAAGAAGAAGGTGAAGAAGGAGATAATGATGAAGAACAGGGTAATGAGGAAGAAGAGATGGAAGAGATGGATGGTGTCAGAAGATGAGGAAGAAAAAGAGGGAATGGAAGGAGAAGACTGTGAACTAAAATAATCATCATACAGATGAGGAGATGGAGGGTGGGGTGGAAAGCAATCTAAAGTTGAAGAAGATAAGGGTGTTATCTTAAATGGAAAAACAGATTCATCGAAAATTACATTACGAGAAACTGTTACAACATTGGGTGCAAGGTTTTAATGTCTTGTAACCTTTGATTCCATAAGGATAACCAAGAAATACACAGAAGGAGAAGCCCTCGGGGAAAACTTGTGACGGTTCTTTGTGTTGGTGGACACATAACAAAGACAACCAAAAGATCGTAAATGAGAGTATGATGGTGGTGTTCCTAAACAGCTTCTGATTCAGTCGCATACAGAAGAAGATTGATTAAGTACAGACCCTGAGATCGTCTTCCTATAGGTAATCCACACGGGCATCGAAGGCATTGGTCGAGGAATTAGCCGTGCTCCGAGCTATTTGGCCTTGATCCTCGTCTTCGACAGGTCGATGATCCCTTCTTAATCTTCCACATTCTGCATTCCGACAAGGAAAATCAGACAAATTCATACAGAAAGTGACAACAAAGCAATCAGACAAACAAGTCATGTCCGAGGCACAAAACCGCATTTCGACCAGGAATGATTTGGAGAAAATTGCAAAAATGGAGGGAAGCAAACAAAAAAATTGCTCGATTCGAACAAAAAACCCTAGAAGGAAATGAAGGCGAACCTGAGACTTGCCCTTGGACTCATTCAGGCGCTCGCCCAAGTCGTAGAGCTTCTCGATCAAGTTGGCTTCGTCGGAGTTTCTCGAGAAAATCGAAGAAGATGGGTATACATGCAGAGCTTCTCGACGAATACAGTACATATACGTATGTCTGCACTGCTGTATACATATAGCGAAAAGGCTGTCGGATAGGGAGATGAAGAAGGATAAGCAGAGAGACCGTCCATGGTGGTTAGCGGTTTCTCTCTCGCAGAGTTGCCGAATGGTTTCTGTGCTTTTTTTTTTTGTAGCTTGAAGAAGAAGAAGAAGAAGAGCGTTAAGAAATTTTATTTCGAGTAAAACGACGTCGTCTATATTTAGAGAACTTCAAAACGACACCTTTACTTATTGTTTCTTTCAAATTAACCCCAAAAGTTTATTTATTGAATCAATCCCGTGTAATGTAATCGTAAATCGTCCGTACTTGATAATTATGTACATGAAGATCTCGCACAAGAAATTATGTACAAACATTATAAATTCAGTTATTCCAATTAAATTTTAATCAATTATATTTATCGATTTGATTTGAACCCTCTTGGAATAAAATAACGTAACACAATCGGATAAAGAACAATAAACAGAACGAACATATAAATATAAACCAATCGGATATATGTCATATTTATCTTATATATATGTATCTCACCCCACTAACAATATATTTTACTATTCGAATTTTTCAAGGTTGTACATAATAAATATTTAATAAACATGGATCTCTAACAATCCAATCACAATATCATTGGCGACGTAGATTTCGCTCCCCCGTGAAATGGGAATCTATTCTCGAATCTCCTCATTTCATATTCATATATGAACACAATGACACATATTGTTTTTATAATCAATTTTTGGATCGACGGCCATATAAATAAATAACAGAGATTTACAATATAATATTTATTTTTTAACACCCATAAGAAAAATACAAAGCTTTTTTTTGTCCTCATGCACAAATTATGCAGCTACATGAGCCATTCATTCATTGAAGCCCTTGCTCACGGGCCATGATTGCTTCCACATGCTAGTGTGACAAATCTTTTTTTTCGTGGACCATCTGCATAAAAAGAGTCAACATTTTCATAATTTAATCTAAAAATTAATATATATATATATATATATGCATATATATATATATATACACACGTCCAAAGTGACCCACCACTCAAAGCTCACAAGGGCCGTAAACATGCATGTCCTATCTCTTTCATACTTTTCCATTTTCCTCTTCTTGTTCTTTCTGTCGACCGTTCCATCTTCTCCGGCCAAACCCTCCGCCGCTCCTCCACCGCAGACTCCGGTGGTCCACCGCCGCAGACACCGCCAGCTGGCGGTGGATTACTACGCGAAGACGTGTCCTCAGCTGGAGAAGCTGGTCGGCTCCGTCACTTCTCGGCAGTTCAGAGAAGCTCCGGTCTCGGCTCCCGCCACAATTCGCCTCTTCTTCCATGATTGCTTCGTCGAGGTAATGAACGATAGGGACCGTAACAATGCCGTTCCCCGTTCTTCAATCACCCTTCATTTGCTACTTTGGCGCACGTTAGCACAGTTTTCTGCATTGACGCGTATTTTAGCGTTCATTTTTTTCCGACAAAAAAAATTGCATGCTCGATGCATTTTGGTGTAATATGAAATAAAATAAAATAAAGTGATGATCCCTTTATGTGTGGTAAAATGCATTGCTTTAGACCAATTTAGGATGCAATTTGATTATTTGGTTAAATTTTTACGTACCAAATTGTAATCAATGGTTCTAAAAGCTAGTAATCATCGTGGCAGAGACGTAAATAGCACAAAATTTTGAATTTGATGACCAATGTGATAGAATCTGAACAAGATTATTACGGTGTTGCCCGGTCCAAACTCGTTCTAAACCGGTTAACTCTGGTCTGATTTAAGCGCGCTTTAGCATAGGACGCGCATGTTAGCAACAAAAGTTAAAAAAAGAGGGGGAAACCCCAGGTGAGTTGGTCAAGGAGCATGGCGGGAAACCATGAGGTTGGGGGTTCGACTCCTACCGCCTCCTTAAACTCTCACCTGTCGCCTGTCAGTTACGGCTGATTCACCACCTACACGTGTGTCGCAGGCTCGTGCGTGTAAGCTTGGGTTTACTCGGCGCTGCGGGCCCGAAGGGCCACCGCTGTGACCCCTTGGTTAGCGAGCCACCGACTGCGCCACAGGCTGCGTCATAGGCCACCGCTGTGACCAGGGGTTAGCGAGCCCGAAGGGCTAGTCGGGGTTCCCAATGTATCAAAAAAAAGTTAAAAAAAGAGAGATAATAAATAGGTCCAAAATTGAAGTTAATAATCTATAAAATAAACTTTTTATTTAGGAAAAATCCTAAAAAAATATATGACACGGTCAATTTTTAAAAAATAAAACCTAAATTTTATCTTTTACTAAATAAAACTTCAACTTGATTGTTGAATTATAAATAAATATAAGTTTTATGAAAGTTCTCATTTTTAAATCCATCGCTCACGTGACGCAGCGATGTCGTGACATGTGGATGATGACGTGCTAAATGGGTCAAATTGTTGATTTGACATATAAGATATGAGTATATTACGCCAGTATTTAGGTTTAAAAATGATAATGATTATAAAGTTCGAGTTTATTTTCGACCGAAAAATAAACTTGAGATTTTATTTGATAAAAAATAAAGTTTAGATTTTATTTTATAAAAATGGAGAAGTTTAGATATTGTTTTTTTGTAATTTTGTCTTTTATTTAATATTTCGGATATGTTTTGTTTGATTATAACAAGATAAAAAAAAAATTGGGATGGGAATGAATGAAGGGCTGTGACGGGTCGATATTGGTGGAAACAGAGGGAGGGAGGAAAACGACGTCGTCGCCGGAGAGGGAAGCGGAGGAGAGCAAGGACTTGAGACGAGAAGGCTTCGAGACGATAAAGAAGGCCAAGTCCATGGTGGAAACTCACTGTCCCTCTCTCGTCTCTTGCTCCGACATTCTCGCCATTGCTGCTCGAGATTTCATCCACTTGGTAATAATAATATATATATATATATATATATATTGTAAAATCAGGTAGATATCATACGATTCGGTCGTTTGGTGGCTATTTCCGGTTATATACGATTTAGTTTCGGTTTTTGGTTTTTATTGATAATAATATTCATTTTTCAAATAGATTTTTGGATTTTTTTTTATTCGGTTTGTTTCGGTTTTAGATAAATGATACACATTCAATTTTTTTTTATTTTGAATTCGGTCCGACTATATACCATCTAGGTTTTTTTATTGATAAAAAAATTGTTTTTGAAAGAGATTTTCATATTTTCGTTTATTTTATTTATTATTCAGTTCGTTCCTGCTTGAGATCGATTTTTTTTTTGACAAATCATACCAATATGTATTATTTGATTAAAGATATATTTAATTATTTTTATTAACCAAATTGACAATCCCTAATTGAAATGTATATCCACATCTGCATCATGATATTAGAGTTTTCCATTCCACTATGATATTATATGGACACTATTTCAATTAACATGATTATAATCCAACATGAATAGACACGTGTAATGCATAGAGTATCCTAAGTTTAACCCTAATTACGTTTAATTACAATAATGCCCTTTTAGATAAAAACTAGGCAAAATATATATATACTGACGAATATATATATACATATACAGGCAGGTGGGCCATATTACCAAGTGAAGAAAGGAAGATGGGACGGCAAAATATCAAAGGCGACGAATGTTCCTCGCAACATTCCTCGAGCAAACGCAACCGTCGATCAGCTCATCCGTCTCTTCTCGTCGAAGGGATTAACGGCGAAAGATCTCGTCGTCCTCTCGGGCGCACACACGATAGGGTACGCCCACTGCAGACAATTCCTCCCCCGTCTCTACGACTTCAAAGGATCCCGGAAACCCGACCCGAGCCTCGACGCCAGGCTCCTCAAGGAGCTGAAGATTTCGTGCCCGAGGTTCGGGGGAGGGACTAACGCGGTCTTGCCGCTCGACGTGACCACGCCCTTTGCGTTCGATAACGGGTATTTCTCGGGTTTGGAGAAGAATATGGGGTTGTTAGGGTCGGACCAGGCCCTATTTCTCGATCCAAGAACTAAGGATATCGTCGCGGAGATGGCTGGGGACAAGCAGAGGTTTTTCTCGGCCTTTTCCGAGTCTATGGATAAAATGGGCTCCATCGGTGTGAAGAGAGGGAGGAAACATGGGGAGATTCGAAGGGATTGCGGCCAATTCTTGTGAGGAAATTCGTTCTTGGAATTTGTTACAAATTCATTTGATTCCTTGGAAGGAAATTCGTATAATACAAAGTTTATTGTTTATATACAAAATTGTTTGTTTTCTTGGAACAAATTGGTACAACGCAAAGTTTCATAAAACTACTATATTGGAAATTAATGTTCTTGAATGGGCTCGGGGTTTTTTTATTAGAGAAAATCTCACATAAATGTCCCGATTTTTTAAAATTTTATCAAATAAATATATGAATTTTTAATTTGCCTAATTGATTCAACAAATGTTAGAAAATTCCAAATTGACACCGCAGCATGTGAAGAAGTATTTGTTCTTTTGATGGGTGTTCACAAAGTTTTTTTCTTAATTATAAAAATATAATTTTAGGTCTTTTATATATTTCTCATTTAACCGGAAAAAAATATTTCTCTAAAACTGCATAGCATTATATGATTAATTAAAATTTTGACGATGACAACAATTCATGTAGGGTGATCATTTCTAGTTTCGATTCGGGTTTGATTCATTTATATTTGGATTCGACTATTCGGGTTGTAGAAAAACTATAATCATTCGGTTTTTATATAAATTTTGGTTCCGTTTAGTTCGGTTTAGATTCGTTTTTTTTTATTTATAAAAAACGTATTTTCAAAAAAAAAATCGGTTTTATTTTTATTTTACCAAAAAAAGGTTGTATATATTCACAATCATAGAATACCGTCTCAAAGAAAGCGGGAAAATCTCCCTCCTCCTGAAACCCTAGAAAAATCCGGAGTCACTCAAAGAGGAAGAAGAAGAAGAAGAAGAAGATTGGCAATGGAGGAGGATACGCCCCCGATCTTCGACCACTGCCTAGAAACCTCCTCTCAGAAATCTCAGTTACAACGCTGCGGCTTTGCCTTTCAACGGGACGACCACCCAGATTCTCAGCTCTCCACCGGAGCTGTGCCGCCAAAAAATGGCTGGAATTCCCCTCGCGATGTTCCCGGAGATTCGGAGAAGATGGTGACTGACTCCGAACGGAGGCCCGACACAGAGGATAACATTGTCGCCCTTGATCGGGCGGTTCCCGTTGTGTTGGAGGAGCAGACGACCGTGGCCGAGGTTTTCGGACCGAATCGGCTATCGCATGAAGAAGGTGGTTCTAGGGTTTCGGAAAAGCCCAATGATCTGTCTGATCAACCCTTGTCGTCGAGGAAATTGAAAGATGGGAATATGAAATCTCCAGCGAAGGAAAATGGGAAGACGAAGCTGAAGATTCCGTTGAGGGAGGTGGTGAAAGCTATCGTGATGAACTCGAGGGACCAGAGGAACAAAGAGGAGGAAGAAAAAGACCTTGAGAAGATGGATTACGTACAAATCCTCATGTCAAAGGGATTCAAATTCCCAGATTGAAGGTGAAAATTGGATCTCTCGCGATATCTCCGTAAAATAATCGAGAACCCTTCACTGTATTTTCTCTGTTATTGTCGTGGAAGGAAACCATGGATTATTCAACCTGTTCTTGATGCAGGTATGTTCTCCATATGCAATGTAAGCCATGGGTTTCTGTTGAATGATTTTTGTGTGAGGTAGTGCTTGTGGTTGATCAATGATCACAGATCTAACGGATACAACATTGTCCCTCAGAAATTTGGTTTAGGGAAAGGATCCATTCTTGCAATCAAAGTGGAGAGATTTTTTGCGTCTGTCTGCCCCTTTTCTTTAGTTGCCTCTTTTTATGGTTGCTCCTTCATTGTTCTTGTTGTTAGTTGGTAAGAAAACCAGTCGACGAATGCATATTTCAGATCGAATTATCCGTTCTGGGTTTGCATCTCAGCATTCGCCATTCCGTGTTCTTGACAGAAACTAACCATCACCTTGGAGCTGAGTTGAGTTGATAAAACACTGAATTCTCTTTTGTGTATACTCAAATCTTGAAACATGTCTCTGTCTTTTCCACTCATCTGTTTGGTCTGTTCACATGTTAGTTCAAGCTGCAAACAAAGCTCGAGTTAACAAGTCTTAGTGAGATCTTTGCCAGTGATTCAAGAACGAGAAGACCGAAGATCAAGAAACGGAGAAAATAAGGTAATCCGAAAACTACAAACACGAGCGTTATACCGTTAAATTTTCCGTGGAGACACCGTGAGAAGATGATTTTTACATCACGGTCAAGTTCTGGTTGATCTGGTTTTTGCCGTCTGAAACTGGTGTAGAGAATGCTCCTTCCTCTGAAACATATCCTTCATTTGTATATTTTTTGTTTATCAATGAAAATAATATAATACCATACAATAAATCTTGATACAATCTAATACCATTCATACCACCGGTTCGGCCGGTCCGTGACATAGAATCGTGAGTCCGAGCCATTTACCGATACATTCCGAGTGAAACATGTGTATACAGTTCGGTAACACCTTAATGACATCGTTCTTCGATATTTAACCTAGACAGACCAATACTCTACCTGTTCATCATTATCAGGCTGGCCTGGCTCAGCCTAGTCTGATTCGTTTCGATCTGAAAAAACTTTAGTCAAATTCAGTCTAATCGGTTTTTTAGTGAGCCAAAAATATATCAGGTCAACCCATATCATCTTATCTCACGAGCCAAACGAATCGTCCCATTAACTAAATATATAAATCTTAAAAATAAAATTTATAATATTAAAAAATATTTAAAAATAATTTTAATTTTTAAAAGATATTTTAACTACTTTTAAAATATTTTAAATATAATAAAAAATAAAATTTTAAACAAAACAAATTAAATATGTAATAAAAATATATTTTGTATATAAAAATATTTTAAAATATTTTAAAATATTAAAAAATATTTTTAAAAATATTTTTTTCTTGGCCCGCGAGCCAGCCCGGCAAGAAAGGGTGGCTAAAACTCCCCCTCAAGATGGGAGATACAAATTTTGTATCCCCATCTTGGAAAGCAGAGCGAACTGGGGCTCGTTTTACACCCCTATCTGTAGTAGCTTTATACACTTTATACGTGAACGTTGGCAACTCGGCTATGGCCGAAGGGCTGAGCCCTCGGTCGGGTGGCTCGGTCGGTCCATCGGAATTGAGGGAGGAGCAAACCAATAAAAGACAAATGCGATTAAGATTGATGCTGTGATTATGGAATTCGAAATATAGCAGTATATATATATATATATATATATATATATATATATAATACAAATGGTATATTGAATTTTGTAAGTTAGCACCTTATATTACACAACAAGCATTAGGATTCTCATCACTAAACAACTGAGGAGCATAGACATAGTGGACGAAATATGGAGTGTTCCCATCTCTGTCTTTGGCCTCAACCTTAACCTTCTCTTTGAACTCTTCGACTTCTTTTGTCTTTTTCACTTCCACCACTTTGACCACTTCTTCTTTCTTCTTCTTCTCCTCCTCTTCCTCTGTTTTGGTAGTCACGATCTCTGCATGTTTGTGTATTTTCTTCCTTATGTAAGTTAGAAGCTTTGTGGATTCTATTGTTCCATGTACGGTTAGGGTTTGTGCCTTTGTATCTGTTTTGACCGTGTGAATACCTGCATATTTGAATTACTATAGATTATAGATTACAATTCAATAATATATATATGGTTAAATCAGCAAAAAATGTATCTAAGTATATGATTATAATTCAATAATATGGTTAAATAAGCAAAAATATATCTAAGTATATGTCCATTGTGTGCCAAGAAGCCATAGTATTTTATTTTGACAAATTTTACTCTTAAACAAAATAAATATGGTGAAAAAAATAATAACATTCTAATGAATTTCTCACATATCCTAGATTAATATTCGGTGGTTATAATACAACAACAACAACAATACCGTCTTAATCCCAAGTTTATTTAGGGTCGGCCGCATGAATTCTTCTTTTCCATTCATTTCGGTTTTGCGTCATATTCTCCGATATTTGCATTCGGTCGTTATAATATGTTACAAAAAAAATAAATGTTTAATATAGGTGGATTGTAGAATATATATATATATATATATATATATATATATATATATATATATATATATAACATATCAATATATATATATATCATCTACAACTCACCTTTTATCAAACGTTTTTTTTGTCGCTATACGAAAATGTATTGCAAATTTAGAACGTTTTATTTATCGTTGAAAAAATGGTTACAACGTAGTAACGTTTTTGCAACAATTTTTAAAAAATTTGTTGTTGTTTAAAAAATGTTAAAAAAATATAACTTTCTATTCACTACACATATCATAAAGGGCAAATTGAAATAAATATAATACATAAGCTATTTTTTTTTATTAATTGTATTAATTCTTACAAGGGGGTCATATAAACCTACGTACCTTTGTGCTTCAATAGCTTTTGCCGAAGATCTTTCTCACATTTTCCACAATGTATGTGTACCTTCACTACTGTCGTATGAAAAACTTCCTGTAATTTATTATGAGGATGATTTATGCCTTAATATTTGGAAAAATAAAATAAAATTTACAGCTAAAAAATCAATTCAAATAAGATAGAGATTAGTTATGTTGGGTTTCTATCCGTTTTAAATTCTATATGGATTTAGATTATGTATTCATTTTAAAATAAATTTTCATTTCATCCGTTTTTTAATTAATTTTTTCTTATTCTTTTCATGTTTGGTTTAAAAAAAAAATCATATTCAATTGTTTTTAAATAGAATTATGTTTGGATACATTTGTGAGTCATTGGGTTCTGGTCATATATATATATATATATATGTGCTAACTAAAATAATGATATCATCATCCTTCTGATGGTTAAATAAATAAGATACGATATAAGATATTTATCTATGACTTTTCATTTCGTATTTAACTATCATAAGGATGATTATATAAGATATTTAACTATGACAGCTAGAAACTTTTTTTTTTCTCGAAAACTAAAAAGGCAATACTAATTATAGATTTAAAAATGAATTCTATAATATGAAATAAAAAAATTTTTATAGAAATTAATAGAAGAGTGATAATGTGGCTTACTTTCTTTACTTCAACTGTTTTCTTCTCAATTATCTTCTTAACCTCTGGTTTGGGAGAAACCAAATCGACTTTTTTCTTGCTCCATTTCTCTAACTGCTTGTGGATCTTCATAACTTCCATGATCCCTTTAACCTTTACTTCATTTTTCTCCAAATCGAAATCCACACTATGGACCCCTTCAATATATAGTAAGTTCATATATATATATATATATATCAAAAAAAAATAATAGTTGAATTATTTATCAAATTTGCATTAGGTTACATAAAATTAGAGGAAAAAATTGCAGAAATAACCCCAAATGTCGTTTCTTACTTCAAGGGATGATCTTCTAGGTTTAGGGTTTTTAAAAAAAAAACTAAAACAACGAAAAGACTAGTTTACCCTTAAAAAATTGAATACGTGGCAACCTTCTATATAGTGAAAAAAACTTCGAAAATTTCTTCTCTCATTTTTTCTAAAAATTCAAATCGCAAATTTTTTTTTCTTTTTCTCTCCAAAGATATTTCTTGGCGATTCTAACAAAAAATTTCTTAATTTTTGTCTTACACTCGACATATTTCTCTACTATGACAAGATCCAACGTTCCAAAGTTGAAGAATTTGAGAATGCATGGAAAATGTTCGATAAAAATCCTCAGAGAAAATTTGGCTCTTAACACGTCATACTAGTCATATCGGTCAGACTTTGGTCATACCGATCAGATTTTGGTCAGATGTCACAATTTGGTTAGCCGATCACACTTTGGGTGAAGATAACTTATGTTAAGAGATTTTTTTTATACATGGAATTAGATCACCAAAACGATAAAAAATATATTCTTATAACTCTTATACAACTTTTTGAATCGTTTAAAGTTAATTTAGACCTTTACTTTTCGTGTGAAAAATAGTCATACCGGTCACACTTTGATAAGACGGTCAAACATTGGTCATACAATCAGAATTTGGTCAGACAGTCAAACTTATTGAAAATTGATGAATTTATCATTTTAAAAAAGTGTTAATATGGTATAATAATAATCTCATATAACAAATCGGTCAGACAGTCAAACTTTGGTCAAACCGATGATACTTTAGTGAGACAATCAGACGGTCAACCTTTGGTCATACCGATCATATCATCAGTCTGGTCATAAGGTTATACTAGTCAGACTAGTCGTACTTTTTCAAAAATGATGAATTTACGAATTTAAAAGTGTTGATCAAACATATTCTTCTTATATAGAATTTTAGCTTATTAGGGTTTCACTTCGATTCGATTCGAATGAACAATATCATTTAAGCTTACACTCGTCAAATTTTTTCTCTATAACGAGATATGGCATACCAAAGTTGAAGAATTTGAGAATGTATGGAAAGTGTTTGATGAAAATCCGGAGAGAAATTTTGGCTACCGAAATACCACACCGGTCAAACCGATCCGATTTTGCTCATGGTTTCAAGAACAATGATGTTATCAATAATGTAACTCCTTCCAAATAAGTCCTAAAGTACTAGTAGTGTTTGTATAATACATTAGATACAATTGACTTATGTTGAAAGATTTTTTTTTACACATGAAATTAGAACTCCAAAATGATGCAATATTATTTTTAGAACCCCTATACAACTTTTCAAATCGTTTAAATTTAATTTAAACCTTTCTTTTTCGTACCCAAATGGTCAGACGGTCATACGGTCAGACGGTCATACCATAGTCAGACGGTCAGACTTGTTCGAAATTGCATAATTCATCGTTTTAAAAGTGTTAACATAGTGATAATTATATCATATCACAAATGTTCAAGTTCAAACTCGGTCGTAACAATATGGATTGACCACATTTTTTGTTTGACAATGGAATTCCTTCCAAAGAAGAACTAAAGTACTAGTAGTGTTTGTGTAATACATATGATACAATTGACTTATGTTGGAAGATATTTTTTTACACATGAAATTAGAACTCCAAAACGATGCAGTAGTATTTTTGTAACCCCTATACAACTTTTCAAATCGTTTAAATTTAATTTAGACCTTTTATTTTCGTACCTAAATGGTCAGACGGTCATACAATCAGACGGTCATACCTTGGTCAGACGGTCAGACTTGTTTGAAATTGCATAATTCATCGTTTTAAAAGTATTAACATAGTAATAATCATATCATATCATAAATTTTTCAGGTTCAAATTTTTCGTAACAATATGGATTGACCACATTTTTTGTTTGACAATGTAACTCCTTCCAAAGAATACCTAAAGTACTAGTAGTGTTTGTGTAATACATTGGATACAATTGACTTATGTTGGAAGATTTTTTTTTTACACATGAAATTAGAACTCCAAAACGATGCAGTAGTATTTTTATGACCCCTATACAACTTTTCAAATCGTTTAAATTTAATTTAGAGATTTCTTTTTCGTATCCAAATGGTCAGACGGTCATACGATCAGACGGTCATACCTTGGTCAGACGGTCAGACTTGTTCGAAATTGCTTAATTCATCGTTTTAAAAGTATTAACATAATAATAATCATATCATATCACAAATTTTTCAGGTTCAAATCTGTCGTAGCAATATGGATTGACCACATTTTTTGTTTGACAATGTAACTTCTTCCAAAGAAGACCTAAAGTATTAGTAGTGTTTGTATAACACATTGGATACAATTGACTGGTCTTGGAAGATTTTTTTTTTCACGTGAAATTAGAACTCCAAAATGATGTAATAATATTCTTATAACCCCTATACATCTTTTTGAATCGTTTAAATTTAATTTAGGCATTTTTTTCGTACCCAAATGGTCAGACGATCAAATGGTCATACGGTCATACCTTGGTCAGACGGTCAGACTTGTTTAAAATTGCATAATTCATCGTTTTAAAAATGTTAACATAATAATAATCTTGTTTAAAATTGCATAATTCATCGTTTTAAAAATGTTAACATAATAATAATCATATCATATAATAAATTTAATGAGTATGATCAGTTTGACCACTTTGATGATTATGACCAGCGTTACCAATTTTGTGAGAATAATCATTTTGACCAATTTGACAAGTATGACCAGTTAGAAGTACGACCAATTTGACCATTCTGACACATATGTATGACCAGATTTCCAAATTCTTCCATTTTGATGAATTTCACATATTTAACGATTTCGATCAGTTAGAATAACTTGAATCATGGTATTGCTGATGAAATGCCCAAACTTAATATTGTTTTTCACAACAAATTTAATAACGTATTTTAGAAACAATATTTACCTATTATTTAGATTTGTATTTAATCGATGAAATGCTCAAACTTAATATTGTCTTTTCACAATAAATTAGCTGAAAAATAGATTGGAAGTAAAGAGCGTTGGAAGATTATAGAATGGGCAAGAAGAGAGATTGTAGTTTGTTCCACATATGCGAATGGAGAGAGAGAGGTGGAAGAGGAGAGAGAGAGTTGAAATATTTTTTAAAATTAAAATATTAAATAAAAAAGGAAGGGTATTTTTGGAAGGATACAATTATAACGTTATGAGATGATGTTAGTTTTTTTTAAAAAAAAAGGGAGGTCATGCCATGAAATAAAAATGACATTTAAAGTCATTTTTGCAATTCCTCCAAATTAGAGTGTTTAAAAGCAAGTCTACATTCTAGATATATATTATCATGGCACATCATAGTATATATTTCGATTATATTGTATTCATCTTCGAGATCGGAATATTGATTAACAACGACATTTGGGGACTTTTATATTTCATGAAACATTTATGAAAGAAACCCAATTGCGAAAATTTTACCGATGATATTTTCATTATAATCAAGAAACAAAATTGGGGGTTCAAAGAAATATACGTTCAATGAGAATACTATCTAATTAAAGATAATAATTTACATATATTTATCATATATATTTATGATAATAAAATATGTATACTTATAACATGTCAAATCCCTAAGGGTTATATATATATTTTTTTGGGTATGATGGGTTAATATTATATATATGCAAAAGTTGTATACAATGCATGCGAAATAGGGAGAAAAAAAAGAAAGAAAGAAAGAAGAGCAGTACCTTCTGTACGAAGGAGAGGCTTCTTGATATCGCATGCACATTTTCGGCAATGAAGATTAACCTTGTAAACGGCTGTGATGAGTTGCTCCTTCTTCTCTTCTTTCGCCGCCATGTTTTCCGACAACCTTAGTCTCTCTCTCTCTCTCTCTCTCTCTCTCTCTCTCTCTCTCTCTCTCTCTCTCGTAAGCTTAGGTTATGGTCTTATTCAAGTATATTGAATATTTGTGTATATATTTTGGTCTAACTGCTCCGTAGAAAGAATACAAGTTATCGTTCGGACATTGGTTTATGATATATCTAGAAATCAAGGTTTTCATTTTTCCAAACTAAAAATTGAATCTGAGTATGATTTTTAATTTCATTTATGTGTTGCTAAACCGGGTTCTAATTGGGCTTTGAGGGTTTGCTTAGAGACCGGTTTAGCTATATATTCAAATACAATGCATATTCAATTCAGATCCATCACTCTATGGATTTGTATAACTAATTTTCTATTTAATCGAAAAAACTTGCGCTTCGATTCAAAATTCTTCGATTTTAGTTTTAGTTAGTTAAAAAACTAAAAAAAAAATATCGAATTAAATTAATAATATGTTTTGGTACGGTATCTAATTACCTCAGTCTAGTTTAACGAATGTAATTAATGAGATTTTGATACGGTTTCCACGTAATAAAAACAATAGACATTTCTTTTTAACGATTGTAAAAGATAAACCGGTTTTAGAACCGGGTCAAATCAAATCGAACCGGTTCACAAAAAGTCCAAATGGACGTACCAATTCCCCGATTACTTGTGTTGAATTTTTTTTTTGGCAAAGGTTGTTCACCAGTGCCAATACCATTGGTTATTATTACAATATGTATACAAAATAAACACAGACGTGGTGGTCCGGTGGCCGGTGGCGTGAAAGTACAAAATACTCTTCAATATCCGGATTCGAATTTCATCTGAAAATCATCAATAGTAAAAAAATAAAAAAAATGTGTATACAAAATATTATTTTTTTTACATATTGCGTATTCATAATCATAGTATTTTTTCGAAATGTTTTTTTTTCCAAAAGAGACCATTTTTTGTGATTTTTTTTTCCTGTTTAGGGATTTTTGAATTTTTTTTCTATAAATAACGAATTAGAATCGGTGTAATGTTTTTAATTTCTATTATAATGTAAACTATAAACCCGTTTTGATATTTCAGCCTTATAGATACATAAATTTCGAAATCAAACAAACGAAACTGCAAATTTATAAAAAAATGAAGAAACTAGTTTTTTTATAAGTTTCTTGAAATTGATTAATGTTTTTATTGAAGAAAAAAGAAATTATTTTTGTTGGGCCTGCGTGGACTTCATCCAGGCCCAAGTTGGCTTCGATCATCGTACAATATTCTAATTTATTAATTAGTTCAATTTGTTTTTTAATTTATGTTCCCTTCATAATTAGGGACGAGCTTTCGATTCGATTCTTTGGAAACCGGACCGAACCAAATCGTTAAAACGGTATTTTTTCTGACCCGAAACCGCTGTTATTTCCCGAACGATATCATTTTTAGAAAACCGAAATTTTCCGGAACCGAACCGAACCGAACCGAAGTTTAAAAATCCCGAAAAACCGAATATTTTTAAAGAAAATCTATCATTTTTTTAATAAAACCCAAAATCGAACCGACCCGATGCCGGAACCGAACCGAATACAATAAAAAACCCAATTAGTACATATTTTTGTAAAACCGAAAGAACCGAACCGATTCATTCCGTCCCGAACCCGAACCGTTTCCCGAAACACCCACCCTACTTCATATTAATCCTTATGCATAGTTATTCCATCTCCAAATAAAAACCTAACATAATTAAATATGTCTGAAAATACTATAAAAAACATAGTGATTTTTTGGTTTTTTAAAATGAAAAACCCAAAAAATTTACATGATTTTATAAATATGATTTTTTCTAAAAACTTGGAAAAACCATTTTAATTAAATAATTAACTAAAAATTAAAAGTTTAAAACTAAAATTTTAAAACTAATGCCAAAAAATTTAAATAAAAACTATCTTCATAGCTGTGTCTCTGTTCGGAAAATCACGAATAATATTGGAATCAGATTATACTGCAAATTATTGGGTCAACCATCCTAATTATAATCAATTAATCTAAATCTAAATAATTAATTCCAGATAATGACCCTTCTGCCCACTGAATCTTATGCATTACGAAATGTTTTATTTCATAACCAATTAATTATTGATCAAAGATTGGATGGTGTGGTCGCAATCATACATCGGACTCGGACCCCTTCGTTAATGATTCGCCCAACCATTTTTTGTCTTCATTTTTTTTCCTATAACAAGATAAACACGTCACCAACCCCTCCCAACAACCCTTTTTTATTACAAATATAAAATATATAAATAAATAAAATAATTTAATAAAAATCTTTAATTTCTATAATTTATTTGGACATAGTTTCAACCAATTTTGGAGTTTTTAGTGAAATTTTCACAAACTTGGATTAAAGTAAAAAGTTGAAAATTAATTTTACTGTTAACCTAAAAAAGGAAGTGATCATATAGAATACTGGCTCAATATTTTTTTGGATAAAAAATTAATATTTTTATGCTTAAAAATAGGAACAAAAGTTGGAAAAGGATGGAGTTTCAAAAATTATTATATAAATACATGGATTATAAAACTTCTGCCAAGATATATAAACTTTTCAAATATTACTATAAATCTAAATAAACTTTGTAAATATATCGTAGCAAATATGAATTTATTGAAATATCTGCAAAGTTGATATATTGAGAGATATATTTTAAAAGTTCATAATTTTTAGGCTAATACACCTCTCTATGGGTGACCATTTCGGTTATTAACCGAATAACCGAACCGAACCGAATAAGACATAATCGTACCCGAACCGAATCCGACATTAAAACCGAACGGTTATGATTTCCTTAAACCCGAAAAACCGAAACCGAAACCGAATCGAACCGAATAAAAAATAACCGAAAAATCGAGAGAATAACCGACAATTTCTTTGGAAAATTAAAATTTTTACCAAAACCGAACCGAACCCGAATCGAAAAATAACCGAACCAAACCGAACCGAAATTTATATAAAAACCGAATGGTTATAGTTTTTCTATAACCGAAATAACCGAACCCGAATATAACCGAACCGAACCCGAACCGAAACCCGAATTGGCCACCCCTACACCTCTCAATTATTTACAAAAAAAAAAAATTTAAAATCGCATTTAACAAGAAAAACTTTGCAATTGTATCTTCATTTTTCAATAACCATTTAACCACTTGTGTGTAAATCATAAATTACAAACAGTTTTGTGAAATAAAATATTGAAAAGAAAAAAACAAAACAAAAATGTCCACACTGGCAGTACTGCACAGCTTGAAGACACCAATCTCTCTCTCTCTCTCTCTCTCTCTCTCTCTCTCTCTCTCTCTCTCTCTCTCCCCCCTATCCCTATATGACGTTTTTTCTTCTCCGATGTTCCAACATAATAATATCTCATCTTCTTAATTCAATTCCCACCATTAAAGCCTCTCTCTTTTATAGTCTTTGCTTCTCTCTTACTACAGGTACCGATTCTCTACAGCCACTATCACTCTGTTTTCCTTTCCTTCGTTTCACTTTACTTCAGCCCTCTTTGAGCGCCATTCTTCGCGAAAGAGACAGCCAAAGAACGAATCTTTATTTCCCTTTTGTCGGTATGTTTCACTTTCTTCTTCACCGGAGAAGCTGAGTTCTGTGTCTGCCCTTTTGGTTTCTTAGTTGAAATCTGGATTGCCCTTTTGCTGGTTTCGAAATTTGTGGGTTGGATCTGAAGGTAAAAGCTGAGTTTTTTTTTTGTTATATATAAATCCAATTGTCTGATACAAGTTGTGGCTTTTTTTTGGCGATAGTTATGGCAGCTGTTGTTTCCTGTTCTTGTGGGTCAACTGTTTTGTTCGGTTCCATGTCCTTTCTCGTTCATTTCCAGCATTGGGTTTACTAAAGTTTGGTCCTTTCCTCAGATTTCGCCTCTCTTGTATCGAGAATTCTCAGATTGATGATGGAGTGAACTCATGTTGTCTGAACGAGGAAGATCTCTCTGTAGTATCTCTGTTTCCATGTCAGAAACTGTGTTATTCAGCTTTGTAGCTCTTCAAATGGATTATATGTCTCAAATGTCAGTTTTTCAACTAATGTCATAAGATTTGATTTCTTCCTTCCTTGTAGCTTCTTACCTCTCTTGCATTCAATTTTCATCGGTTAAGTTTACCACTAAGTGCTAATTGTGATTAGATCAGTTCACTATCTGATGTTTGGATGTGGACAATTTTGCTTCCATCTCAGGGTCAATGCAGTGTTAAGGATTATACATTCTGCTTGAGAGTGATAAATCTGAGATGGGTTCTGGTAATCTGTTCAAAGCGATGATCGGATCGAAGAGAGGAAAAGAAGGAAGGCTCAAGAAAGAGAAGGTTTCGATTCACTCGTTAAACCGCTTCATGGTCGATGAATTGTGTTTTTAATCCTTAATTGTGTTCAATGCAATTCATGTTTTTCCTTCTTTGCAACAGAGATCTTCTGCTACTGTAAGATCAAAAGATGTCAAGAAGAGCGGGCAGACAGTAAGTGTCTCCAACAATTTTACGGTCCGTGATACCGAAACTCGGGGAATTCCTATCGAGGATTTGGCTGCAACTCGGATTCAGACTGCGTTTAGAGCCTACAAGGTGTATGGAGTTGCTGCTACTCACGAACCCATTTGCTTGATTTTTTAACGTTTCATTGTCTGTAATGTATGATGAACATCTTGAAACCGAAGATATTGCTGTGGATAGGCATTTCGATATCTCCTCTCCTGCACAAGAATGAAATCTGATACACAAGTTTTGATTTTTCAAGCTTCTGCGATAAATTTGCGACGATCATTCATAGAGAGAGGCTGATTAATTTCTCGATATCGTATCTTTTGTATAGGCTAGAAAAGCTTTACGCCATCTAAAAGGGATAGCACGGGCAAAGTTGTTGGCTGAAAAGCATTATGTGAAGAAGCAAGCGGCGGTTACGTTGAGGTATCTCCACTCGTGGAGCCAAATACAATCACAGGTAAAGGCTCGTCGGATTTGCATGGTAACAGAAGACCGGTTGAAGCAAAAGAACATCGAGAATCAACAGAAGCTCGAGGCTAAGCTTCATGATGTCGAGGTTCGATTCTTTTTCACCCATTCACTTCCGAAATTACCGTTTCTCGATTCAGTTTCTTGCTTCATGCCCACTTTCATGCTTCTCAGTTGCTTCAGCAGCTATTCTTGAGAATTTTTTTCTCCATTTAAGATTGATAGTAGTTTCTGCTAATATCGCCTTGATCTATTAGTATTGACGGATTACGCCACGACCCGTTTTATGGATGGTGACATCTCGTTGTTGTTCACCTCTGCGTGGAAAATACATCGGTTTTTGTTTTGTCCGGGAATTTATCTTTGACAGTCTATTACGCTACTTCTATTTCAATCCTTAACATCATCTCCGAAGCAGAAGAAGAGGAAGGTAACCGAAATACCGTGTGATGATTTCAAATCGAAATAAACGGCAGGTGGAATGGAATGGTGGGACGGATACCAAAGAGGAAATTCTCGGGAGGATACATCAAAGGGAAGAAGCGGCGGTCAAGCGGGAAAGAGCTCTGGCTTATGCTTTCACCCATCAGGTACAAAGCGCAACACGTTTTTTCCTCTCCATTCCTTTGACGTGAAAGTAAATGCATAGAAGGAAGAAACGTATTGGGAATTATAAAGAGTTTTAGTTCATACCGAACCGAGCTTAGATATTACCGTGTTTCCTATCTGGTCTGGGTTTATCTATTCCTACGACGTTAGGACAAGAATTATGAATTATAGTCGAAAGGAAAATACGTTTTAAAACTCATTCAATGATCGATAATACATAACGGATAAACTAAATAGGTATTACTGTTATCTTGCAGTGGAGGGTTGATGGTAGAACACAGTGGCTCGGGAACTATGAACTGGGCAACACTAGCTGGGGTTGGAGCTGGAAAGAACGTTGGATCGGGTCTCGCCCTTGGGAAACACGTCATCCGTCTCCATCCATCACTCCTAAGAAGCCGCAGAGCGGAAAACCAGCTTGCAAGAACGATAAAAACGGGAAATCTCCATCGATGAAATCGCTGTCTGTTTCAGACAAAGCTTCAGTTCCCAACGGGAAAACCGCGGCGAAAGGACGGAGATTGTCGTTCCCGGGCGCCGAAAAACCCGCAACTCGTGAAGTTCAGGCAGTTTCTTGATTGTTTATAGTATTCTTTCAATGTGGAGAAAGTATAGATACATGTCGTCTTCAATGTCAGCAAGAACATAATTTTCACAAGTAGAGTGTCGGTTTGTTAAGAGCTTCTTTGTTCTTTTGTTGTTGTCTCTGTTTTTTTTTTGTATGTAAATACATATGGTTTTGCTATCTGTTTCATGGGAGATGTTTGACTTTGGTCAACTCCTATGTCTCAATTTCCAATGGATGCTGGAGTGATGATGTTATGAATATTACATTGATTTGATGAAGTTTATATATATAGTATATATGGACATGTTCATGGATCTTTTTTTTTAAGTAGATTTTTTAATCCTTTTTTGGGAAAAAAATTGACCGAAATTTGGGTGCAATCTCTAATAATCTATAATTAAGGGTAAAATCTATAAAAGAAAAATTTTAACTTAAAAAACTAATTTTTAAAATTTTTCAATTGGCAAATTTATTTTTAAATTTACAAAATATATCATTATAATTCTCAAATTTGTAAAATATATCACTATAATTTCCAAACTAATTTATAGATAATATGTAACAAAAATTTGAAAATGATAGTAATATATTTTACAAATTTAATAATAAATTTATCAAATAAGTTTAGAAATTAGTATTTCACTATCCGTACTGTAATTAAATATTATTCAGCTTGGGGAGAAAACTTAGCAATTTGAACGTTTCCCTACTCGTAAGCCGTAGAATCTTTCTCACTCCTCTCTCCCTCTGTCGCATGACTCCATGCAAAGTTTCTCGCTCTCCGTCGATTGAGATTTCTTTTTGAATGCGATGTAATATGGAAGTAATTCGAGGGGCTCATCGTGGAATTTGAAACCCTAGCTCGGTCTGGAATCTTCTTCACCGTGTCATCGGAGGTACTCTTCTAGTCATGTATTTTTTTAGGGTGATTTAGCTATTTTGTTAAGATTCTATGGAATTTCACGGGATTCAATTGAATAATGTCTCTATTGCTAGGGCATTTGATTATTTCTCTTTGAAAGTTGCGTTCTTTCCGTTTTGGTTTTATGCGGAGTTGCATTGTTACGAAGATTCTTGTCTGGGAAGCTGATTCTGTTCACAAACCCTCTTCTAATCCCAGTTGAATCCGAAAAAAAAAAAGTGAAAAATATAGAGTGTAAATGTCAATCACGCACGTTTTCTTCGGCAAAATGCAAAAATGGTGAAAGAAAGGGAGAGAAAGAGAGAGGCTGTATGACAGTAAGTGTTCTTTAGTGGGCATATGATGACACCCTTCAACCCATTTTCCAGTAACAATTTCTTTTATGAATAATGAATCTTTTGAAAATTTCTTTTCATTAGTGTTTGTAAGTTGCTTACAGAGTATGGTCATTTATGTTTTCATCCGCATATCCATTGACCAGTTTGGATATGCTGATATGCTGCTGTGGGCTGCTTATTTGTTTCGACATACTTTTGACATGATCTCATGAATTCTTTCAAGTGTTAACTTGATGAGATAAGTTGTAGATATTTGCTTATTTTGGTGGGTGGCGGTGTTCGGTTGATGAAACTAATGACATGCTTTTGTGCTATACTTGCAGACATTTTTTTTAACTTGCTTAGGGGTTCCATAGATCATGGAGTAGTTTGCTGTCAATGAAGCTATATGGTTTGAGCTGTTTTAAAATGTTTTGGATTAATATATTATTTGTTATTCCTTCAGCCCTAAATTAACATGGTTACCTTTTGAGTCTAGAATGAGCTCTGAAATCATGGGAATAAATGAGAGTTTGTGTTTTATGGTGACTTCAGGACCTTACTTGGGATAGGCAGAATCTTACTAGTTACTACTAAATACCGTGATATTTTGAGGTATAACTAATTAGGAAATGCATGCTTGCTATTTCAGAGGTTTTAACTCTAACGGTTGAATCTCATAGACCAATAACTCTTGACTCTTATACTTTTAGTTGGCCTTTGTTACTTACCCCAACATTCTCATGGTCCATACCATTCTTTACCATCCAATTCTAACTTTATAATGAATCGATTTCAGTTGCTCTTGCATTTCAGATGTGCAGCTAAGGATCTGGCCATTTTTTTTTAAAACAAAGAAGCATTTGTTATTGAGTCATTAATCTGTTCTCTGCTTTTCTGTTGTTGAAATGTGAGTGAGGGGTATGTTGCTAACCAAACCAAATGACCTATTGTTGTGCAATTCAGTTAAAAGAACCAAAAAAAAAGATAAGTATTGTTGAACCTCTTCGGTGACAAGTCGAGATGAAAAAGATGCATCTTGTATCTTGTAAACATCAGTTGGGTTTTCTTCAAATTAACATTTAGCCAAAATGTTTAGGGGCATTCCGAGAATCAAACTCGGGACCTCTCGCACCCAAAGCGAGAATCATACCACTAGACCAAATGCCCGGTTGCTGATATAATTCTGTCAGAAAATTCTTTTTCTAAGATATTTTTTTTACACGCCAGTTCCTGTTTTCTTTGCTTTTCTCTCTGGAAATTTTTGTGTGGCCCTTCTCGTATTGCTTCAGCTCATTCTTGGGGAATCTGGCAGCACAGCTAGCATAAATAAGATTACTGTTGGTTTGATATTGAATATGTCATGAGAGGTGTCAAGGATATCGTACATTGTATTGTTTCGTGGTTGACTTTGTCTGAACAGGGTATTCTGAGATCTGAAGTTAGAGAACTTACCACTTGATGAAATGCATGAGTTGTGATGCCCTTCAGGCTTCAGTGAAAATGCTGGGGTATTTTGCCTTTTGTAGATTGAAATGTCTGAAAGTTTGGTTGAAAGCCACTAATTTGGTTAAATTGTCACTCTCTGGAATGTGTGATGCTTTGCAAAAGCTCATTGGTGGAGGGTCAAGAGGAAAAAATTAAAAACTTTGTAGGATACAACTTTCAGCTGGCTTCTTGAACACAGACTTCATAAAAGTCAATGGGGCATTCCGAGAATCGAACTCGGGACCTCTCGCACCCAAAGCGAGAATCATACCACTAGACCAAATGCCCATCTGTTTATGCATCTGTGGAAGTGTTAAATGCTGATTGCTGTTAATCCTCTCTTGAAAACCAATACAGATTTATGAAAGGGAAGCTGCCTTTCAGATGTTGTTCTCTTAGTTGACTTTGAACTTAAAATATTGAAGAACTCTTAGCAGGGTGTTTCAAGATTGATCTTTGGGACCTCGTTCTAAGTTTTCCTATCTCTTTTGTTTCCTTCTGGCATACTTGTATCACTATAGGTTTCTCAAATACATGAATGCTGCATAGAGTTACTGGGGAAAAAATTAATTGAAAAAAAAAAATAATGGGGCATTCCGAGAATTGAACTCGGGACCTTTTGCACCCTAAGCGAGAATCATACCACTAGACCAATTTCCCTGTTACTGATATAGTTTGGCTAAAGCGCAATGTGTGATGTTCAATCAGTTCGTGAAATTTGAAGATCTACTTTCGTTCTCTTTTGAAAGTTACATGGTCGTTTTATTATTGGTGCAACTCATGTTTGGTGAATTGGGCGGCATACAGCTAGTGTATTGAATTTATTTTCTGGTACACAATATTTAAATCATCAAATATGGATCTCCTACTTGATTTTCTTCACCACATTACTGTGGAAACCGTAGCAGGATGTTCCGAGCTCTTGCTTCTTGTTGTGTAAAATGTCACGAGTCTTGTAACAATTTGAATTTCCATGTGCAAGTTGTTTGTTTGTTCAGTAAATATAAATCATTAGATCTGAAAATACAGCCGCACTTTGTGTCTTAATGTTTTAGTTGACTTTTAGCACTGATTATAGAAATATTTTATTATGGTTTTTTTCTGAGATCTGAACTGAGTGACCTGCAGCATCGTAAGCAAGAATTATACTATTAGATCGAATGATCAAAGGAAATGGCTGTTTGTTGCTTATATTTTTTAATTGTTCAGAAGTTGATTTCTGGATTCTTATGTTTCTATGGGTTGAAATTTTATGGAATTATACCATTTGACCAAATCACATGTTTTCCCTTTACCCGAGTTAGAAGAATGCAAATGATATTGCTGTTTGTTGATTATCTAGTTCTAAAAAATGCCAGGTTCTTGCTTTGTAATGTTCTTCTGGTGAAAATCTATGTACAATTCCATGTCCATTCTTTGAATAACCCTCTTGTAGGGAAAATATGTTATCATATGGTATGTGTAAGGATACAGTGCATATTTCCAAGTAACTTTTTTTTCCCCGTTTGTGATGTTGTATATGTAAAAAGTTTAGGGGGCATTCCGAGAATCGAACTCGGGACCTCTCGCACCCAAAGCGAGAATCATACCACTAGACCAAATGCCCGGTTGCTTATGCATATGTGCGGTCCTTGTATTGCTTCGGCTCATTCATGAGGAATCTAGCAACTTAGAGTATAGATAGCTGATGGTTTGCAGTTGAATATGTCTTGAGAGGTGTTTTCTGGTTAATCGAAACTGTGCCATCCAATGTGAAGGAAATCGTACATTGTATTGTTTCGTAGTTTACTTTGTCTGAACAGGGTATTTCGAGATCTGATGAAATGCCGGAGTTGTGATGCTTTTCAGGGAATATGCTGGGGTATCTTGTCTTTTAATGTTTAAAATGTTTGAATGTTTGGTTGAATACCACTAGTTTGGTTAGATTGTCAGTCACTGGAATGTGTGTCGGTTTGCAAAAGGTTATCGGTGGAGGATCAAGAGGAAAAAATGACAAATTTTTGGGAGATAACTTTCAGCTGGATTGGTGAACATAGACTTCATAAAAGTCAACGGGGCATTCCGAGAATCGAACTCGGGACCTCTCGCACCCGAAGCGAGAATCATACCACTAGACCAAATGCCCATCTGTTGATGCATTTAAGTTGAAGTGTTAAATGCTGATTTCTGTTAATCCTCCCTTGAAAACAAATAAAGATTTATGAAAGGGAAGCTACCTTTCAGATTTTGTGTTCTTAGTTGATGTTGAACTCTGGAACTCTTGACAGGCTGTTCCAAGATTTTATCTTTGGGACATCATTCCATGTTTTTCTCCTTTTGCTGTTTGACATGTCTGAAAGTTTGGTTGAAAGCCACTATTTTGGTTCAATTGTCACTCTCTGGAATATATGTGCTTTGCAAAAGCAAATTAGTGGAGGATCAAGAGGAAAAAATGAATAGTTTTTTAGGACATAACTTTCAGCTGGCTTGTTGAACAAAAATTTCATAAAAATCAACGGGGCATTCCGAGAATCGAACTCGGGACCTCTCGCACCCAAAGCGAGAATC